CGAGGAGGTGGCGAGCAAAGGAAAGAAGAAGAAGGAGAAGGTTGCAGGGGATGAGAAGCCTACAAGTAAAGGAAAGAAGAAGGACGCAAAGGATGAGGCCAAGGGGCCTGTGAGCAAAGGAAAAAGGAAGGCTGAGGTCGAGGATGAGGAGGAGGAGGAGGAGGTGAGCAAAGGAAAGAAGAAGAAGAAGACTGTAGAAGATGAGGATGAGCCGAGAAAACCAAAGAAGGTTGTGGCGGAAGAGGGTGAGGCGCCTGCAAGCAAAGGAAAAAGAAAGACAGAGAAGGTTGCAGCGGATGAGGGTGAGGCGTTGGCAAGCAAAGGAAAGAAGACGAAGAAGGGAGAGGTGCCTCCAAGCAAAGAAAAGAAGAAGGATGCGGAAGCGAAGAAACGAAAGAAGGAGGCAGAGGCAGAGGAGGTCGATGAGGGAGAAGGAGAAGGGGATGAAGAAGAGGAAGAAGAGGCTCCCGCAGAAGTGAGAAGGAGGCTGAAAGCGGAGACTTTGGATGAGGCAGGTAACGAAGACCCAACCCAAAGAAAGCTAGAAGACATGCCAGCTGTCCGTTTCTACCGATGGCCAAAGCCTAGAGCCAAACAAGTTGCAATCAAAAAAAGGAAGCTCGTTCAAAAGAAACTCACAGAACTGCCGAGCTTTTACAAGCTTGCCACGGAGGAGCCAAAAGAAACAAAGCCAAAGAAAGGTGCAGTCCTCCAGTGTTCCCGGTTTTGCTTATATATGCTTATATCTTAGAGCACGGTGGCGCGCTTTCCCTTTGCCAGGCCCCGGTCTGCGGAGGGCAGACACATCAGCTACGGTTTGCTATGACGTCGTAAGCCCAATCAATCCCTTCCTTCTATTTTTGATGGTCTTTTTGTTATGAAATCAGGGGCTCCATCTTGAATCAAACATTCTGTGCAGGGTCACGGCGGGGGCATTGTGCAGATCAAGGGACTGACCGTCCGCGACGACTCTGGAAAGCTGCGCAGGGCCAGGATCTCGAATAGTCTCGCTCTTGTCGTACACCGCCACCAGCCCTCAGGTCAAGAAGCTGCCGGACGAGGTGAAAGACCAGATCAGATCTATGAAGTCCCAAGCTGAAATCAACGTGCAGGACCAACTCCAGTTAGTGTCTAGACTTGATTTAACCATAAAACCTTACTGCAAACAGTTTTTCAAGCTAGGAGCGCCGTGTGCTGTACAGTGCTTTGGACAGAAAAATGCAAGAGCCAGGCCATACTTTTAAGATCTTTTAAGGGTGTTGCTTCATGCTTGCAAATGGGAAAGTGTCGTCCAAGAATTCGGGGTCACAGGAATTCCAGCGGAGCTGCTTGCCAAATACGAAGCCGCCAGTGGATCTCATTCCAAGAAGTTCCTCGGATGGCCCGTTGTTTCCGTCCGTAAGAAATTCAATGCGATTTTTTCTGGTCAGGTTTCAGCTCTTGAAGGAGTTTCTCTTGACCGATGAAATGTCCCTCAACTACAAAAGAACACAACTGAGCACAAGTGCTTGAGCTACCTATTTTTCTCTTGGGGCTTCCCAGGTCCAATGTGAGCCTTCAAGCTTCCGTCGAGCAGTCGGGATCTTGCTGTCCAGAAAAAGCCATCCCATGCCGATCAAAGCCACACCTTGAGGTCCCAGCGCACAAAGGATGATGACATATTCATTGAAATGCCCATGGTTGACATCGAGTTGAAATACGGTGGCACTGAAAGTGGCAGGCTAGGTCTGATCTGTGAAAAAAATATATATAGCGCAAC